TGAGATCCTAGAGAGAATCAGCAGCATGGTTTTCATGGGCAGAGCCAGCGCTTCCAATAGGCGACTTAGGCAGTCGCCTAAGGCGCAGCTTTAAAGGGGGCGCCCTGCGCTGCCAGTGTGGCACCCCTCATGCTGCAGCCGCCTTCAGGCGGCACAGACAGGGCTGGCAACACCAGTTACGAGTGACACAGCACTCCCTTCTACCTTTCACTCAGTGTAGCGTGGCCGGGCAGCACGGACCGCTGTGCAGGAGCTTCCTGTACCCAGCTGGACTTCCAGGAAGTGCTCTCTCACAAGGGGAGGGGGGTGGGAGTCCACAAGGGGAGGGGAGACCCCACAAGGGTGGGGGAATAGGCCACAAGGGGAGAGGGGAAAAGGGGAGAGACCACAAGGCAATGGGGGAAGAGGGAGAGACCACAAGTGGAGGGGGAGGGAGGAGGGAGAGAACACGGAGGGGGGGAAAGGAGAGACCACCATTGGGGGAGACCATAGGAGGGGGGAGTGAGAGAGAGACCACCAGGACAGGGAGGGAAACCAACAGGGGAGGTGGGATGGGAGACAGAGACCACCTGGGGCGTTGGAGAGAGAAAAAGAGAGGGGAGAGAGAGACCATCAGGCAGAGGGGGGGGGAAGAGACCAACAGTGGAGGGGGGAAGAGAGAGACCACCAGGGGAGGGGGTAAGAGAGAGAGCACCAAGGGGGGGAAGACCACCAGGAGAGGTAGGGGGAGAGACCACCAGGGAAGAGGGGAGAAGGACCACCAGGGGAAGGGGAGAGGAGAGACCACCAGAGGAGGGGGGAGAGGGAGAGACCGCCAGTAGAGGGGAGGAGAGAGACCACTAGAAGAAAGGGGGGGTGAGGGAGGCCACCAGGGATGGGGGAGGGAGAGACCACCAGGGGAGGGGGGAGAGAGAGAGACCACCAGGGGACTGGGGGGGAGAGACCATCAGGGGAGATAAACAACCACGGGGAGTGGGGGGGAAAAGAGGAGAAACCACTAAGGGACAGGGGAGGGGGAGAGAACTCTAAGGGAAAGGGGGGCAGGGGAGATTACTAAGGAACAGGAAAGCAGGGGGGAGCAGTAAGGGACAGGAGGGGAGAGCACTAATGTACAGGGGGACAGGGGAGATCGCTAAAGGACAGTGTAGAGCACTAAGGTACAAGAGGGCAGGGGAGATCACTAAGGGGTGGGAGAGCACTAAGAGACAGGAGGGGAGATCACTAAGGGATAGGAGGGTATGGGAGAGCACTAAGGTACAGGAGGGGATGGGAGAGCACCAAGGGACAGGAGGGGAGAACACTAAGGAACAGGAGGGAAGGGGAGAGTTCTCGGGGGCAGGATGG